AAATTGTTTTGATCCATAGGACACTTTGAATGAATGAGGAATTACATTAAGTTAATGAGATTTAGGATTATTTGTTATTGCAGCCTAGCCTAGCCTATCCTCACAGACACCAGGCTCAAATCTCACTAGTAATTAAAGTAATGAATATGAATAAGATAATAATACATACTCACCAGATGGACAAAATTAAATGTTTTGACGATACTAAGTTAGCAAAGCTGTAGAGCAATGAGAGCAAGAATGGAAATTGGTAAAACCACACTAAAAATGTGTGGCATTATCTAATAAAGCTGAAGTGTACAAACTAATAATTTGACCCAGTAAAAAGAGTACTAGTTTTATACTCTAAAGGACCTCCTGTACGTATACACCAAGATATTTGTAGATGGATCATAGCTGCTCTATTTATAGTACAACAAAGGAAGATATCCATAATCAGAATCAATTTTAAAAGTTAGCGTGTTTTATTCATACAATGGAATATATCTAGCAATGAAAATGAACAAGCAATAACATTCATTCAGCAAAAAAATTACTAACCACTTCTTACATGCTAGGTCTTATTTCACACAGTAGGAATACAACAGTGATCAAAACAGAAAAAAAATCCTGCCCTTATTATGGAGTTTACATTCTTGTGGAAATAGGGCAGGTTAAAAAACCCAATAATAATCAAGAAGGTATATAGTATTTTAAAAGGTGAATAAATTCTATGGGGAAAAAACAAAGGAAAGGAAAGGAGAAAGAATATATTGCAAGGTAAGAAGATACACAATTTTAAACACTATAATCAGGGCAGCCTTCACTGAAAAGGAGACATCTGAACAAAGACTTAAAGGAAGTGACCATAACAGATCAAGCCATGTGGACATCTGGGGGAGGAGCATTCAAGGCAGAGGAAGCTCAAGTGCAAAGATGGTTTCTGGTATATTCAGGGAACACCAAGGAACCCAGTGTGGCTAGAACTGAATGAGAGGATAAACAGTAGGAAATGAGACCAGGTAGGTAAAGGGGTAGAGGGACTGAAAGATCAGGTAGGACTTTGTAGGTTATCCTAAGGACTTTAGTTTTTACTCTGTGTGAACTGGAAAGTGATTGGAGAGTTTGAAGCAGAAAAGTGACACAATCTGACATATATGGTAAAAGGAGAGCTCGGATTGCTATTTTGAAAATGAAATGAACTGAGGAGGGCAAAGGATAAAAGCAGGGAGACCAGTTTGGAGATCCTTGCAATAATCCATGTGGGAGACAATGGTACCAGCCAGGATAGCAGCCTTGGAGGTGATAAGAAGTCATTATATTCTGGATTTATTTTGAATATAGAGCGAAGAGATTTCCCAACACATTATATATGAGGTACGAAAGAATGTCAGGAATCAAAGGCCAAGGTTCTGGGCCTAATCAACTTGAAAGATGGCAATGGGGAAGGCTGCAGATAGCATATCTTTGGGCAAGAGGAAGATTCCTTTTGGAGCATGTTGAACTGGGGATTTCTACCAGACATTCAAATGGAAACACTGAGTAGGCAGCTGGATACAGTGGTCTGAAGTCCAGGGCAGAAGCCAAGGCTTGGGCTGTAATTTTTGGAGTTATTAATATGCAAATAAAGAGACTCCATGTACTCATCAAAGAGTACAGAGAGAAAAGAGCTAAACCTTAAGGCATGCCAATGTTGAAACCTCTGGCAGAAGAGGAGAGGCCAGTGGAGACAGAAGGGAGCAGCAGGGAAGAAGGAGGAAAACCAAGAGTATATATGGTGTCCTCGAAGTCAGTAAAGAACTGTTTCAAGGAGCAGAGGGTGATAACTGTGACACTGCTACCAATAAGTGTAGTAAAATAAACTCTGACAACTGACTACTGGATTAGCAAAGGTGATCTCATTGGTGACCTTGACAGTAGTACACTTTGAAGTCGTGTAAGCATAGTATTGAAAACAGAAGATTGATAGGAATGGGTTCAAAAAACAGTGTGAAGAGAGAAAGTGGAGACAGGGACTATAGATAACTCTTTCAAATACTTGTGCTGTAAAGGGAAGAGAAGAAACGGTTTAATTGGTTTAATCTCACAAACATAATGTTAAGCAAAACAATCTATGAAAGAATGCCTGCCATAGTCATATATACTATATATATATATGTGTGTGTGTATATATATATTTTTTAAAGGTAAAACTAGACTTGCAATGAGGAAGGAAAAAGCAAGAAGCTTTTGGGTATTGGAAATGTTCTCTTTCTTGGGCGGTAAGTAGTAGGGTATTTGCCTTATCATTATCTGTTATAATGATTTGTTATTATAGTATTTGTCAACCAATAAATTTGTTTTATGCACTTCTCCCTATATATGTCATAATTCAAAGTGTTAAAATTTTTTCACACATTAATAAGATCATGTCTGTGAAAAGATAACAGGTAATATCATTATTGAGTTACGAAAAGTATTTGAGAAGCAATATCACAAGTTATAAGAAGATCAAATTTGAATAGAAACTCCAAAAGGTTGTATGTACTAAGTCTGTCCAGTAGGTGAACATTTGTACCTTTCTAATTTAATTAAAATCGGAATTTGTAAAGCACATAAAATCTTAAGAATTAGAGTAAACCATAAGCCTTTTTCTTCATTTTTAACTCCACAGGACATTTTTTTAGTGTGCATGTTTGGCTCTCAGTATAAAAAATGCAGTATAGTATCTGCCAAGAATTCTTTTTTTTCTGGACACTTTTAGGTTTCATTTCCAAGACTTCCCAGAGATATTGCACTTTACAAACACAAAACATTTGGTGCTATAATAGTGATCTAAGTGTGAAGAGATGACTGGGTTTTTTGTCGGTAAATTCATGGGAGAGTAATGCCGCACGTTACAAAAGAGGAACGGAGCCTCTGCCAACCGAATGACACGCCCAAGTCATGAATGAGTTGGCTGTGGACCATGAGTGATCAGATCCATCCACTGTTTCAGTTGTTTTCCAAACAACTAGCAGGGTATTCAGAGTTCTACTACTCCCAGTTCATTCAGCAAGCAATTTACTTAATTCTCTGAGCATCTCTTTCTAAGGAGATAACCATCTACTTCACCAGAGAATATGAAGAAGGGAAGACAAATGCCTGAATGACTGATGACATTTCCAGCCAAAAGACAAAATGGCATTGAAAACAAGCTAAAATGTGTTCATAAAAGAGTACTTCAAATCCACTCCATTCTCCCAAACTGCATACAAAGCACATGTGGGTGGGAAGAGACTGTTTTATTATTTTAGATCAAAGCCACCAAAAAGAGCTAGAAATATTTCTAAGCCGGTCCTAACTAGTGATGACTAAGTTTCAAATAATTTTGAAAATGCTACCAATAAAACATGGCAAGTAGCAACAAAAGCCATTCCCACATTCGCTGTCACTTAAACAAGTCAACATTTTTTTAATCAAAAAGAAAATACAAGACATACTGACATAGTGCATACTCCTTGTACTACATGTGTGTGTGTGTGTGTGTGTAATTCCTCATTTTTTGCTTTATCTATTTAGTTAACCTCTGCTATTTTCTGGGATTCATTCCAAGACAAGGAAATGCATAACTAAAATTGGCATCTGTGTTACTGAGCTTAATACCAGAGAGGCTCTGAAGTGGTCTGAAACCATTTTTTTAACATTCTGCACACAACTTTATGCTAAAAAGTAACCAACACTGTTCAAGAGCAGTAATTGATAGGAAAGGTGCAATTTTTGTTTTCCTTGGAAACAATTTTTATTTCCTCTAACTGAACAATACTGAAAGAAAATAAGTGCTATGCTAAAGCCATGTGTTTTTGTTGCAATGTTGCCAATATTTGGCCTAAAGATTCTTTATGGTGGTATGAGAAGGTGATCTAAATATTCATATGTAAACAATACATTTCTTAGCTCCTTATAAATATTTTTCTGTACAACTTCTGGTTAGAAAAATCCTAAAAACATAAGTCATAAATGCATATAAACCAAATGCTAACATCAATATAGTTTTTTTAGCATCATGAAAGTATGAAACTAGCAACGTTTGTAACAGGCTAAAGAGTTAAAGATCTATACCTTTTTGATCTGGGACACACCTTAGATATTATCAAAAGGCCCTTAAAATTGTCTTAATCCAACCCTCTAACTTGAAAAAAATGAGGAAACTGAGGCGCAGAGAGGTCAAGCTAACCACAGTGTCACAGATAATAAATGGGAAATCAAACCAAAACTCAGATTTTCTCATTCTAAGTCCAGAGCTCTCAAAGAATATTTGTTTTAACATACTTTAATACTTACGGAAATAAATGGTAACAGAAGACACTCCAGACAAACCCTTAGTATAAATAACTCCCTCAGACTTATGAGACCCAGTCTCATCTTCTGTTTGCAAACACAAGTTCTAGAAATAGCACCCACAATAACCAATTTCTTAAATGACATCATCATACCTGGGGTTTCCAAAATGATTCCTCGCTTGGGTCTCTTTTCCTCACCACTACCAATACCCTTCAGTAAGTGATTTGGTTGGGATTGGATTTGATCGGGATTGGATTTGGTAGTGGCTGTTTTTTAATTTGCTTGCAGGGAGGAGGGGGAGAGAGTGAAAAACAAAAGCTGAGGTTTAAATGATCCCTACACTGTAAATATTTTCCTTTGTCATTCAAACCAACAAATCAGTCCTCAAGGCCCCAGGGCTTACAGGTTTGCCTCACAGTCCCTTCATTTTCCAAAGTTGGCAGGAGGCCTGGAAAAGAAGTTGGGCGGATGGCACGTCTTTTCGGTGGCCTCCGGCAGGTGCGCACCCTGGCGCCGCCGACTGCTCGAGCGGTGCGCCCCGATCCTCGGCGTCCCGGGGAAGCCAAGGGTGGCCCGGCGTCCCATCCACCCCACTCCCTCGCCCGCCCGGCGCTGGCCGCTCTGATGGCCCTGCGAGGCTGGCCCGGACTCCCGGTTTCCAAATGGCCCGCAGGCTCCGCGCCTCCCACGCGCGTCCCAACGCCCAGCTCTCGAGTTACCCGGAGCAGGAAGAGGTGGCAGTAGGGGGTGGAGGAGAGACTAGCGGGTTCCACTTCGATCCAGGGGTCCAACCCCGACGAAAGGCAGCGATGGCGGAGGCACGGGGGCTCGGGCACCTGTGTCGCTCGCACTCGGCCGGCCGTGGGCTCTGCGGTGGGGCCGCTCCAAACTCCTCGCCGAAGGTGCCGGGAAACTCTCAGGAGAGAGGAAGGCAGCGGGTGTGTGGGGAGGAGGCGCTGAGGAGGAGCAGGCTGGGGTGGGGAGAAGGGAGGGAAGGGCCGGGTGGCCTCCCGCGCGCGCCCCGCGCCCTTCGCCGCCGCTCCGGGGCGGGAAGGCAGCCGCGCAGGTGACGCGGGGCGGCGGCGGGAAAAGCCGCTGCGCGTGGCCGCGTGCCTGGGGTAGGGGAGAGCGGGAGCTTGGGAAGGAGGACCCCCTGCCCGCAGGAAGGCCGAGAGCCCAGGCGAATCCAGCAGCGACGCGGCGCCGCCAGTTCCGCCAGCAGTCACTACAGCGCGCCCACCCGGAGCTGGTGGCTGTCAGACTTTCCCCTGTCCCCTCCCACCCCCAGACTTCCAGGCCTCTGCTGCAGCAGGTGTGGAGAATACAACAATAAAGATTGCAATAATTGAGAGGAGTGGGAAAGGAAAGAGAAATGGAAAAGACAAAAAGGAGTGAGGTAGTGGGTTTCCTTATCACCAAGGATGCTTGCAAGCCGGCATCTGGGTCAGGAAGGCTGAAGACGGCATGCACGCTTGTAGTTGGGAGTTGAACCAAACGACCACTTACTTCTCTTTCAATCCTGAAATTCACTGATGTTTGATGTATCAAGTAGAAAAAAAAAATGTACCCTTAAACACTGATTCCAACCCCAAAGTAAAAGACATTTACTTGCTCTCCACTCAAAAAAATGTTCATTCGTTTATTTATTTAATATATTTTTATTGCAGACACACTATGTGCCAGACAATATGCTAGGTGCAGTTATTGTGTTCCGTGGAGGTAGGAAGACAGATAAGAAAGTATCCATAAAATTACCAATTGTGCTGGGTGATATGAAGGAAACCAACAGGGTGAGGGTTTTAAGCCTCTAGAAATTAATTTGACTAACACCCTTAGAGGAAACACCATCAGAAGCACCCAGAGAAAGTGAGGTGCAGGAAATAGTCCAGAAATGGGTAGGGGCCATAAGCAGGGTCTCCTGGCTCCCTGGCCCAGCTGCTTTGTGTCATGGAAAGAAACTGTGATAACTTTGTAAATGGAACTTTTCCTCCATAGGAACATCCTCTCAGAACCAGAGTCACTTTCTTGAAGAGAATTTGGATCTCCAGACCACTTGTTGAAAGCACTTTATTCAGAAATGTCATATTTGTGCATGAAATGGACTTTCTGGGGTGTCTATGGTAGACAAAAGTAACCCAGAAACACTAACCTGTGGGTTTTCAACAAACTTCAAAAAACATATGTTTCCATTGGATGGAAACAAGAAGTGGAGCAGAGATACTGGCTTCTCCAGATTCTTATGACACAAAACAACACAGAAAGAATCCTTAATTCAATAATCAGAATGAACTAGCACATCAGTTTCCTAGGGCTGCTACACCAAATTACCACGGACTTGATGCTAAAAACAGATTTATCCGCTAGTTCCAGAAACCAGTAGTCTAAAATCAAGATGTCAGCAGGCCTGCAGTCCCTCCCAAAGCTCTAGGGGAAAATCCTTCCTTGCCTCTTCCAGCCTTTGGTGACTTCAGGAATTCCTTGGCTTGTGGCTGCATAACGCCAATCTCTGCCTTCCTCTCCACATGTCCTTCTCCTCTGTGTATGTCTTCTTCTCTTCTGTTTGTCGTAAGGACACTTATTATAGGATTTAGGGACCCTGCGGATAGTCCAGGATTATCTCATCTTGAGATCCTTAACTTAAAATTACATCTGCAAAGTCCCCTTTTCCAAATAAGACCACAGTCATAGGTTCCAGGGATTAGGATGCGGACATTTTGAGGGGAGAAGTCACTATTTAACCCAGCCCAACTAGTAAACTAACTGATAGAGACAAAAATCATTGTCTACTGTGGTATCAGGATGTCTGTCATTCCAGCATCATTATCCAGAATTGTGTTGACGCTCAGTATAATTAATTATTTCATTGTGAACTACTAAAAATAAGTATCATTAAACCTGAGAATTACAAAGAATAAATGCCTATGGAAAAGAAATACAGGCCAGGTGTAGTGGCGCATGCCTATAATCCCAGCACTTTCGGAGGCCAAGCATGGAGTTCAAGACCAGCCTGGGCAACATAGCGAGACCCCATCTCTACAGAAAAAAACAAATTTAATTAGCCAGGCATGGCGGTGCCCTCCTGTAATCCTAGCTACTCAGAAGGCTGGGGTGGGACTATCCATTGAGCCCTGGAGTTCAAGGTTACAGTAACCCATGATTGTGCCACTGTACTCCAGCCTGGGCATGAGGAAGACCCTATGTCTGAAAAAAAAAAAAGGCAGGCAGGCAGGCAGGCAGGCAGGCAGGCAGGAAGGAAGGAAGGAAGGAAGGAAGGAAGGAAGGAAGGAAGGAAGGAAGGAAGGAAGGAAAGAGATGCAAAGGCCCATGTCCTCAACTAATATTTGGGTCCCAGGCAATTACTTGAAGGCCAATCATGGCACGTCACAAGCTACCATTGTTAAGAGAAATACATCCTACATACTACACATGGATGGATTTCTGATAATGCACCAATACTGAATGTCTGCTGCGTACCAGGCTCCAGGTCAGGAGCTCCTAACAGAGTTTATATTCAAGGCCAGAGGATGCCTGTGAGTCTCATTCTGTCTAGCACAATGCTTGGTGCATATCTGAGGCCTGATAAAAGCTGTGAATGAAAAAATGAGAAAAAGTAAATCACTAACAATCAGCTAGGCAATTATTACCACATTGAAAAACATCTCTATAATAAGAAGATAGAATTTACTAGAGCAAAACAGATTAATGCCCTGACACATTCATTATTTTCTTGAGCTAAGAAAAAAAATCCCTAAAAGGAAATCTTTGATGTGAAAAAGAAATTAATGAGGTCACCTATCTTCGCTTTTGAAAAAAAATCAATAAAACACCTATTTACACAGATGCAGATCCTGCTGGGAACAATCAATCATAATTGAAGTTATAGTTACTTAAAATGGGTAAAAAATCTTGTCTAAGTATTTTGGTTGTTAGTTTCAGAAACATAAGCATTGCTCTGTATTAAGTTGATAATATTGATACATCGCTTCTTGAAATTCTACAATGATTTCAATGACTCCACTCTCTTCTTGGCTCACCTCTTTCCTCTTTGACTTTCATTCTTACTCTTCCACTCTTACAGTTTTAAACAATCAACCAATATGTTAATAAATACCAAACTGAGCCTCATTCAGTGACTTACTTGGGTCACAGGCCCATCCCTGAACCAGTCATGTGGCCAGTAAGCTGAGATATGATGACTGTGTAGGTATGAATCACCTGTCTACTCCTGGAAAACAAGGGATGGGAGGATGGGAGCAGGGTTGGTCTTACCCTAACCAAATACCTGGGGGTAAAGTGGTACCCCCAAAATAAAATTAGGGTGCTTTCACTGAATGGGAAGAAGATAAATAAAGCACATATATCCACTAAAACAGATATTCAGAAAGTTTTGTGGTTGAACTGACAGTAGTTTTAAATAAAACAGCACCTCACCTGGTCCATGGTGCCCTAAATGTTTTGTGGAAACCTTTCCAGAATAAAATAATAATCATAACTATTGATTATATGTCTAATTACCACACAAACCTTAACATTTTACATTCATAAATGCATTTGCAAAATGCTGTTATGTGCATCAGAAGCAATCGAGTCAAGCTCTGGAGTCTGATTGCTGGAGTTTTTATGTACATTTATTGTGAGCCTTTGAATCAGTTCTTTCTCTTTCTTTTTTCAGTTTCCTTTCTTTGTAAAAATGGAAATAATAATAATCATTTCTCTGAATTGTCATGAAAAGTAATGCAATAAAAACAATGCCTTTAGAATAGTCCTTGTTATCTATCAATAGTAGTCTATTATGGTTGCTAATTATTTTCTCATTTACTCCTAACAACATCCCTGGAAAATTTTGTATCTGTTTACTTTAGGTATCCTCAACCTGTATCCATGATGAAACATTGAAAGCTTCTAGACTTAAATTATGTTTTCAGATTTTTAGGGCGGAAAGCATAATCTGGGTGTGTAGTATATGGCAGAGAGAGAAAATGGCAAGCCTAGAGCCAGGGATAACAGTTAAGACCAGTGCTTCTAAAACTTCGATATGCAACTGAATCAACCAAGGGATCTTTAAAACACAGATTCTGATACCAGAATGCCGAGGTGCTGGCCTGGAGTCTGTATTTCTAACAGGCTTCAGAATGATGCCAATGCTGCTGGTCCTCAGCAAGGCAGTGGACTATTTAAATAGTATCAATGCCATCTCCGGCAAAAAAAAAAAATGATATTTAATATACATGAAACTTTTAAGTCCTCATGGAAAAATAATTTACAACTTGCAAAGTCGTAACTGCTAATTGAAGAACTGTTGTGCTCAATGAGCAAATTATATGGAAATATTTCTATCTTGGTTCTTAACATATCTTTGAGATTAAACCCCTTTAAAACCTGAATGTCCATGAGAAACTTACTAGTTTGCACGGGAGGGGGCAGCTTTGGTGAGCAGAAGAAGTGTGATACAAGACACTGTGAAGGTCCGTTTGATGTGTTGACAAGGCTAGGCTACAGGCCCCAGTTATGCAAACACTGCCTAGGAGTTGCCATGAAAGTATTTTTTAGATGTAATTAAAGTCCATCATCAGTTGACTATACGTAGAGAGATTATCCTAAAGAATCAGCGTAGTCCTGGTTCACTCAGGCCTTTCAATTGTGTTGGGAAAATATGATTGAGGACTCAATGAAATGTGGCTCATAAGACCATTATTTTATTGTATATCCCAATATTGCTATAGTAAAGACAGAAACAGGAGTTTGTAGGGTTTTGCCCTGAAGGAATGTGTGGACTCAAGGGTTCACTTATTAGAGGCTGCTATCATGGGAGAGCTCTCAAATCTCCAGTGGGGATGTTTTCCAGGAAGGCTTCCCGGTGTCTCAAAATCTGTGAGCTTCCCTGTGTCTTGAAACACAAGGCAAGGCAAATATGGCCCACAGGATGGGAGCCGGAGACAATGAGTGCACTTTGCCCAGAGATGCGCCCCCGTGGTTATAAACAACCTGTTTTATTAGAGATGGGTTCCCTGCTCTCTCCTGTCTATCTACCTTTAAGTCCACCATAACTAATCAAAGAAATATTCAGTCACTGTACCTCTTTTGTTTTACCTCTGTTAATTGACAACTACCTCTTAAAACTTAGAAGTTAGCCCCTGAAAGACTTTGTACCTGTTTGTTCACCTAGATACATTAGAAGCCCCTTGAGAGGACTTTTGACCCTAACCCACTACCTATATCCCCTAGCAACTGCATTCCCTGATATGCAAATATGTTACCCTGACAAC